TATTATAACTGTTATATTTATTATAACTGTTGTTATATTTATTATAATTTATGTGTATTATAACTGTTGCTATATTTATAACTGTTATATTTATTATAACTGTTGTTATATTTATTATAATTTATATTTATTATAACTGTTGTTATATTTATAACTGTTATATTTGTTATAACTGTTGTTATTTATTATTAATTGTTATTTTTATTATAACTGTTGTTATATATATTATAACTGTTGTTATATATATTATAACTGTTGTTATATTTATTATAATTTATGTTTATTATAACTGTTATATTTATTATAACTGTTGTTATATTTATTATAACTGTTATATTTATTATAACTGTTGTTATTTATTATAAATTGTTATATTTATTATAACTGTTATATTCATTATAACTGTTGTTATTTATTATAAATTGTTATATTTATTATAACTGTTGTTATATTTATAACTGTTATATTTATTATAACTGTTGTTATATTTATTATAACTGTTATATTCATTATAACTGTTGTTATTTATTATAAATTGTTATTTTTATTATAACTGTTGCTATATTTATAACTGTGGTTAGAGCAGAAAAACTTTGGACTGCAGCTGCATTTCATTCCTCCGTGGGGGGTTCACCTGAAAATCTCTGAGACCTGGATTCAGAAACCTTCAGTTTCAGAGAGACTGAGGCTGTTGTCTGTAAATGAACGAACGTTTCACGTCGTGTAAACGGGGCCTCAGACTGGCTGCCCTGCCTGTCAATCGAGATACATTTCATAGATGGATGGATGATAGAATTACATAATTTTTAATGCCATCTACCCAGAATACCTTGGAGATCGACTGGTAGATGGAGATCGACTGGTAGATGGAGATCGACTGGTAGACGGAGATCGACTGGTAGACGGAGATCGACTGGTAGATGGAGATCAACTGGTAGATGGCGATGGACGTATTGGGCACCCCTGATTTAGATGGATGGTCCCTTTTTGCATGTGTGTAATAACCTGATTATATTTACAATCAGGATGTTTTTGTTGACATTTATTGAAAAAGACATCTAATTTTATTGTAATGCACTGAGACATTGAATGTATTTATGTAACATGTTGGGTAAATATATTATTTCAGAGTTCTTGTCAAAGTAAACATTCTAACTAACAGTTTAACAATAATTTGTGAATGTAGATAAGAATTTCATCTTTTGTTTTACGAGTTAACAAATACTACATCCGGACTAACAGGAAGTGGAGGA